TAATACAAGATCAAGTAGGAGGCGATCTCACCAAAACAGATGAACTGTAGTTACAGTTATTAGATCGCTCAATAAGTTTTGACGCTTAAAAACTAAACATGAAGCTTTCCTAACCATAAGTAATTAAAACTCCATGATTTCGTATCGTTCAACTTTGTCGCTTTCTTGTGACCATTTTTATATACAACTTGTCTATATTTGTTTCAAGATGGGCTGTCGTGGGAGCAGACTCGCCTGCTACTCATGGACGAATGGCGCGTAGGGAAATATGCTAGTGAAGCGGCGCGCAAGATTAATAAAGCTTCCTGTAAATGGCCCAAACGCGACTGATCCTTTAGACTGTTTTCTTTAGTATGTACGTTGCGAACCACTTCCTGGGTGTTCTTTTTTCAACCGTATCATCGCCTCAGACTCTACCAATCTTTCGCGCCGCTTCACTAGCATTTCTCCCCATACAGCATTCATCTATGAGTACCAAGTGAATTTGCCACCACAATAACTCAATTATGGAGCAACTAAAGGCATATTGAATGTCAAATGTTTGCAAGAAAATGCGCAATTGAACGATGCTAAAATAATGCAGTTGTAATCACTTCTGGATAATAAATTTTGTGTTTATTGCCCTAGCATCAAACCTTATGCGACGACCTAATAACTTTATGCTGGGCTTCTCTCCAACTATTATGGATTGCAAAAAAAAACATTCTTTTTTGGCCTTATTTTGAATGTTTATCACGAGGTTTTAAAAAAGTCGATCTTACTGGATTTATTATGGATTGGTTATCATAAACGGTTATTTGCCGAAGGAAGCTAAGCAAACGATTTCCTTCCCGGTTCCTTTTCCTAGTCACATATTATCACGACGGTTGGTTCGATATCTTCCCTGATACTCTCGTGCGATCACTTAACTAGAAGCCTAAGAATACCTTAGCTCGCCCACCTCCAAGATTGCAAAGAGAATCGTCCGGCCAGCATCTTACAACATTCACAACGAGCATGATCTCCTCAAGGAGCAACCGAACAACACGTGAAATGTCCTGAGACCCTTTTTGAGGATGAATGCGAGAAAACGAATCGAATGCAGGATATGCTGGCATTTGCACAGTAAATTGTGGTGAGAGGTTGTGGAAAGGAATGATATCAATGTTATCCTAAAAAACAAACACATAAGAAAGAAGACGTAGGATATATGAAGACCATATATGTATATATAATTATATATATATATATATATGAATATAAGTAAATATATATTTATGGATAAATAAATAAATAAATATATATATATGTATATATTCCCCACGGACCTCCCTCTTTGAGGGATCCCGCACGGTTAGTCGCGAGGCACGTGGCGCGTCCCCAGGTGGTGGATAGGGGAATAAAACGCGAACCAAAAGCGACCGTGTGCTTCCCAGAGACGCAGGTGGATTCAGGGGACGAGCTCCCTGCTTCTGCAGTGCCGACTTGACAAAACTCTATTTCTACGAGTCAAGTCGGCCAAAAGCCTGCAATCAAGCGGCTGGGAAGTACATGGGAGGCGGTTAGGAGTCGCCTCCAACAAATAAGCTCCTCCCGCTCCTCCGAGAGAGACTGGCAAGCTACTCGTGAGTACCCAGCCCCCACGTTTAGAGCCTGGCAAGCTACACGTTGGGTATCAAAAATGCCAAAAACAGTAACAAATATGGGCCTCATTCCCCTGACCCCGAAAGAGCCCCTGGTACGGCAGCGCCAGGTAGGACGAGTACGGAGAGGCTGCTAAAATCTCAGGGCCGAACTAGGCTGCCAAGATCGAAACGGACTAAAATGACGATCTGTACCTACAATGCAAGAACCCTTGCTCAACAATCCGCTGTAGAAGATCTGTTGATTCAAGCAAGAAGAATAAGGTACGATGTCATTGGCCTGGCTGAGACGAGAAGGCGCCATCCTTTTCACGCTGTCTATGACACCGGAGAAGAACTGTTCCTTGGAACATGCGATCGCAGAGGTGTCGGTGGCGTTGGCGTCCTCGTCAAATCGAATTTGACCGTGAACATTGATTCGTTCGAACAACTAACAACCCGCATCGGACGATTACGGTTGAAACGATGTGGTTCTATGCCGGCTTTGACCATCTTCGTTGCTTACGCACCAACATCAAGCTATGACGAAGACGAAGTCGAAGCGTTCTATATGGACCTCGAAAAATTCTTCAGAGAAGATCATACATTCTTCAAGGTCATTGTCGGAGATTTTAACGCAAAAATTGGACCTAGAAGAACGTCTGAAGAACGTCACATAGGGACCCACGGACTAGAATGGAATGAACAGGGTGAGAGGCTATCCGAGTTTATCATGACGACCCAAACCATCCATGGTAACTCGCAATTCCAAAGCCTCTCTCTCAGCGATGGACGTGGGAGTCTCCCAATGGAGAGTACCATAACGAAATAGATCACATCATAGTAAATCGAAGGTTTTGCCTGACCGACGTCGCTGTTGTTCCCAAGTTCTACACGGGATCAGACCATCGCCTCCTTCGCGCAACGTTCCGATTTTCGAGGAGAGGAGAGAAAGCCGCTAAATACAAACAACGAAGTCCCAGAACTACCATAAACTGGGATGTATTCAAATCATTGGTCGGCTCTTGGGAAGATACCGTTGTCGACAACATCGACGAAGAATGCGATCGACTCGTTGAATATCTTCACGTTGGCTCTAAAAAAGCCGAAAGTCCTAAGGTCACGAAGAGACGCTTGTCTCCGCAGACACTCGAGCTGATACGTCAACGTGGAATCGCACGAGCCGCAGGCAACCGAAACCTTACGTCCGAACTTGCGAAACGATGCAGACAAGCGATAAAAGAAGACCTTAAAGAGAGAAGAGCAGCAGTTATGGCAGAAGCTGCAGAAGCTGGGAAGAGCATTCGCAAAGCCCAGCGAGGCTTCGCCAACTATAAGACCAAGATGATTGCACTCCGATACCCTGACGGGACACTTACAGCTTCCAGAAGGGCTATGGAGAAAATCATCCACCAGTACTACTCGGATCTCTTCGCTAGCCATGTTCTCTTACCGTCATATAAATTGAAAGAGGACGAATATGTCGTTCCACCGGTCCTTCCTTCCGAAATCCGACATGCTATATCGTCGGTGAAAAACAGAACAACACCCGGTCCAGACAGGATTAGACCAGAACACCTGAAGAACCTGCCGCCAGTTCTCATCAACACCCTGGCTCGGCTCTTCACTCGCTACCTGTCAGAATGCAAGGTCCCTATTCAATGGAAAACCAGCAAGACCGTATTGTTGTTCAAAAAGGGAGACCTTCACGACATAGGCAATTATCGCCCAATCTGCTTGCTGTCCGTTGTCTATAAACACTTTACTCGAGTCATCCTGAAGAGGATTGACAGAACACTGGACGAAGGACAGCCATGTGGACAAGCAGGGTTCAGAAAAGGATTTAGTACCATGGACCACATCCACACGATCACAAGACTCATTGAAGTTTCGCGAGAGTACAAACAACCACTCTGTCTCACTTTTATCGATCTGAAGAAAGCCTTTGATTCAGTGGAAACAGAAGCGGTTATAGAGGCTCTAGATAACCAGGGCGTTCCTACTCGGTACATAATGATCCTTCGTGAGCTTTATAAAGATTTCACGACCAGAATATCTCCATTCTACAACAATATCACCATTGACGTAAGAAGAGGGGTTCGACAAGGCGATACAATATCGCCAAAACTATTCACTGCCACCCTACAAAACGTCATGCGAACTTTAGAACGGGACGAAATGGGAGTGAAAATTGACGGTCGACAATCAAACCATCTTCGCTTTGCTGACGATATCGTTCTCATAACACCAAACATCAGCCAAGCGGAACGAATGTTGACTGATTTCGACAACGCCTATGGAAAGATCGGTCTTCAACTGAATCTAACGAAAACAATGTTCATGAGGAACGGATGGGTTTCTAATGCCCCATTCACGCTCAACGGAACGACAATTTCCGAATGCTCCAGTTACATCTATCTAGGTCGTGAAATCAACATGATGAACGAACTAGCCCCAGAGTTGAGCAGGAGGGAACGAGCGGCTTGGGGAACGTTCAAGAGCATCGAAGATGTAGTGAAGAGGACAAAGAACATCCGACTCCGTGCCCACCTTTTCGACTCGACAATTATCCCTGCCCTAACGTATGCAGCAGAAACCTGGTCGCTACGTAAGCAGGATGAAAGATCACTTGCCGTTATCGAACGCGCAGTCGAAAGGTCGATGCTAGGAGTATCTCGTATTTCGCAAATGAGACAAAGGATCCGAACTTCCGACCTACGTCAACGATCGAAAATCAGAGACGCCGTTCTACACGCCAGGATATCGAAAATAAGGTGGGCCGGACACGTGATGCGCTTCAACGACAACCGATGGACGAGAGCCGTTACCGACTGGATTCCTCGGGACGTCAAGCGCTCTAAAGGAAGACCACTGACCCGTTGGTCCGATTTCTTCACGAAAGCGATGGAAGAAAGATATGATGCTCAGCGAATTCCTAGAGCAAGGAGGACCCACTGGGCTACTCTTGCACGCGATAGGGAAAAATGGAAGAGTTGCTGGTACCCGCTCGAGTCACTCGACGATCAACGGGACGACAGGTGATACAGGTGATGTATATATTCCATTTTTCTATTGTTTTCACTGCCTTTTTCGCAGTGTTATGATGTTTCATATATTTCTAAGAGAGTTGAGTGGTGAGGAAAAATACGTCCTCAGACGGGAGTTGAACACGCAACGCGTTTCATCGATACCGGGCACGCGTGCTACCAGTACACCACCGAGGTACATTCGCATCACCACTCATTCTTCAATATCTCTATGTTGAATGTCAGCCACCAACCTTTAAGAGGTTTGATTGGATATGCGAATTTGCTCTATAAACCCAGTTCAGATGACAGTCACTGTGCTAAGTAATAATCAAATTTAGAATTGTTGAAAAATGAGTGGTGATGTGATTGTACCCCGGTGGTGTAGTAATGGCACGCGTCCCCGGTATTGACGGAACGCGGGTTCAACTCCCGTCCGAGGCCGTATTTTTGCTCACCACTCAATTCTCTTAGGAATATATATATGCATGTATATAGATAAATAGATAAATAAATAAACAAATAAAGCTATACATGTAAACATGGGTGCTTAAGCAGTTCTGTCAATTCCTTACAGGTATTTCAGCAACTAAAATACCTTTCTTTTCTACCGATTTTGAGGCCTCGCACGAGACAATGTAATTTGATAATATATTTATGCACTTATACAATGCAAGACACGTGTTTCAGCATTACAGCTTCGTCAGTTCTCTTAGTTTAACCAGTTACGCGAGGAGACATTCTCTATATAAGAAGACGCCACCGAAATATTTACACTTGCCTTCAGGTGGTAAAATCACCAAACGAGCAGTGATGTACAGTCGATTGCTTGTGGCTAATAAAACATAGTTGCCAAACCTTTCTTTTCAATTGTTTTCGAGATCTCGTCCAAACAATATAATTTAATAATATGTATTATTTTAAGCGATATCTCAAAAACAGTTGAAAGAAAGATTTGACATTATGCGTTTTATCAGCCACAAGCAATCGGCTGCACAACACTACACCGGTGGGTGTTTTTATCACCTAACCTCAAGTGTGAATATGCTGGCGTCGTCTCCCCATATAGGCGATCTCTACCCCGAAACTGACTGAACCAAAAGGCACCGTGCAACTGACGAGGTTGTAATGTCGAAACATGTGCCATTCACTGCATAAGTGCTATAGCAGACCTCATGAAATGCTCAGATATGTTGTTAGCAAAAAAAGATTACTAATATATGGGGGTGAATTCATCTAATTAAAGAAAAATTGCGTTTATTAGAGCAATAATTGCAACAGTAAACAAAAAATTCACAATAAATTATTAAAACGGCCTCCTCTGGCGCTCATACACTTATGAAGTTGCTTGCTAAAATTTCTAACGAGGTTCGCAACTTGTCTCCGCAATTCCGTCCCAAGCGAGTGTCAGAGCCGTTTCAAGCGCTTCTACGTCAGCGTAGCGACTAGTCGAGACTTTTTCTTTCAATATAGACCGCACGGACTGATTAACTAGATTGAGATTCGGCAAGTTTGATGGTCATATTTATTTGTACTGAGAACTTGGGAACTGCTATTGGCAGATGGCAATCATTGAACAGGCCGAATGCGCAAGAGCCCAGTCTTGATGAAGTGTAAATCGTCGGCGCTAAAGTGTTCAGTACTTCAAAGCTCCAGTACGCTCCGTAAGACTTTCTGGCCATAGCTGGCAGCGTTTATTTTGACGTCTCTATTAATGTGTCTTTTGACTTGACCCACGGTGTCTTTTCGGTGGCGCAAATATCGGCCCAGACCATCATAGAAACTAGAAAATGACTGGGGTCCATGATTTTTGTCATTGTAGACTCATTATGATCATTCTTGAAAAGTTGACGTCGATTCTGGCGACTGCATAGTGGTCTGACCGTGAATTTCTTTTCTCACGTGGAAAGCACCTTCATTAAACAAGCACGAGCGATGAAACGAATTATTCGGAGACCCTTTGGAAGCCGTTTTTCTTCCATAAACATGATGGATCTTGTAGCTGCGCTGCCCTAGCTTATTGTTAAAAATGTTTTGGAAGCTCTCACTTACTGACACCAAGCTTCTCAAGCCATTTTGCTTATTATAGGCTCCGGATTTTGTTGAACTTTGCCAATGGGATTTTCTTGAATATTTTCTGGAGCCTCATTATGCCTTGACGATGAGATGTTGCATGAGCATTGATACAATTTGTCTAATCTCTTGTAGAGCATGCGCGATCTCGCGAAACGAGTAGGCCGCTTCGTGCCCCATAAAAGAACATCACATGGCAAGCATAAAGCTAGATCAAGTAGCCCGCGAAGCTTATAAATGGCACAAAAATGCATAATGGAGACAAATGTAATGTAGAAATCACCATTCTCGCTCAACAGCATGAAGAATCTGCGCGTAGATTTACTAAGCGCTCTGGAGAAATATCATTGATTTGATTATGAACTGTAGAGAGGAATTCCTCGCAATCACAACTAAGATGAGACAGTACATAAGACTTTCCTTCGGTGAAAGAAATGCATTTGGAGTTCAAGGATCTCTGCACGGTTGGTCTCTTTTTGTACTTGCTACGATTGAAATCTAAGTTTGGTGATTTTTTAATGAAATACCAGAAGTGTTTGTTCAATCAAACTGTGGCAAATGATCTTTTCAAGCACTATATAAGGCAAAAATGCCGTAACGTTAGCCATTTGAACAAATTGTGTTGTGTAAACCTCGCGTTCAGATCAAAAAGGAAAAATAGCGAGTTATCGGAGGCTGCTGAGGTTATAGATTTTGGTCTAACGACGTGTCCTCTTTCTCTGCTTGGCTAGATACTCCAAATCACAAGGATTTTGATTAAATGGTTGGTTCTTCGAAAGGTTATCACAGAACGCTGTAAGAGCGAAAAAAAAACCACATTTCACGCCTAAAATGCTACCTCGCTGCTTGAACGTCATAAGTGGCTTATTGGTATTTTTAGGCTAAGTTTATGCGTGAGGTTCCCTATTGTTACAGAAAGAATGGAATATCACGAATGAACCTTTCACAAAGGTTTTTGATCCATTTTTTTGTAGGAATTCATTTTTCAGCGGTAAAACCACGTCCTTGTGAAAATAAAGCAAACTATCGAAACCTATTGCGCACATGTATCGCCTGTCTTGCTAGAACGCTGCTCGAAAGCAATTCTTCCACAATCAAGCACTTTCAATAAAGGTCTATGTGGAGGCAATTCTAATATTTAGCTCTAGTAAGTGTAGAAAGAGCGCGCGTTCATCATTGCGTATGATGCGCTAATTTCCCTATCAGCACCCATATTTAAGAAAAAAGTTATTTTCCACTTTTTCTCGACATTTTAGTAGTCACTGATAGCTTAACTTTTTCAAAAACTTAAAGGTGTATTTTATTTCTTTAAAGGTCATCACATTACGCTGTAACAGTGAAAAGAAAATGTTATTAACTCAAGTATCTTTCGATGAGCAAAGCTTTTCCTCAAAATTTTTACCGATTCTTCAATATCACAAATCTCGGAAAATTTAACAGTGTTTTAGTCTTCAAAGAAATCTCTTTATTGTGCTGCCACACTAAAATTAAGATTGCATTTCAAATGCGACGTGCATGCCTTCCACCGGTATGTGGATGGATATTGCAACATTGGAATCAAAGCGTCACCGTTCAGTAACCATTCGATAGCCCATAATTCGAGGATTTCAATAGTGTGCTTGTTTTTTTTATAGAAAACTCTTTGCGAGCTGTAACAAGAAGAACAAAGCTGTGTTGCATATCTGAGAATTTTTCACTAGAAACGGCTCTTATCTCAGGCTTTTACAACCATTCAATAACCCAAATCTTAGCAATTCCGAAAACATGCTTAGCTTGTGATAAAGATTTCTTAGTACATCGCTACAGCTAGAAGAATATTAGATTTCACACTTCACTTTGCGCGCACCGCACGACACACGTTAACTGCGCTGCGCGATCGACACGGCGCCGAGTGTAAAACTCAATAATTTTTTTAGCTGTAACAACGCATTAAAACGCCATTCTAAAAAACCAAGTTTATCATTGAGATCGTTGAGATTTGTGCTATCGACTGATTTATGAAAGTCTGGATGTTGCACTTCACCTTTGCCGTATAATATAAAAATCATTTAAAAAGTAAAACACACCCTTCAAATTCTTGATATTCCAGTTGTCGAATAATTACTGATACCTCAACAAGGTAAAAAAATACCTTTTTTGACTATGAGTGCGCATAGGGAAGAAGTACCAAGAATACTTTTCTGGGATGGCACATTTCTGATCAATAGTTTGCATGATGCCGATGTTCTAAGCCTCTTATTCAAACACGGTTGTCTTTTCCCGCTCGGGATTACTTCACTATCCATAAGTAGTCAACCTTTTCTCACAAACGTCAACTGTGAAAAAATAGAAATTGGCGAATAATTGATATAAACTTTGTTATAGTAAGATTTTCGGTGAACAGGTATCGGATACAGCATGTATAATCATTTTTGATAAACCACTAGCTTTTCTCCAATTTTTATTTGCTCTGATGACTAGGGTCTTGTATAAAGCTAGGGCAGAGCAAAACTAAAGATTTTTTCGTGATCATTTTGGTACAATGCGATCTAAATCTGCTCAATCTACAGAATATAAAAATTTTGTTAGTTCTAGGTTTTCAGTGTGTTGGCAAACTTTATGAAATAGTAGTGGCAAACGCTTCCACGTAAAATTGCTTAAGAAATAAATGTACTTCCTCGCGCTATGGGATTTTTCATTAGTCTACCACTTGACTACTACCCCACTCCGTGTGTTCTTTCCATAGATATCTCTTCATTAAAATATATTTAACTCGCTTGCTGTTGTGAAGTTAGGTGGTGCGGTGTCAGATGTGTAGTAAGAGGGCAATGTGATAAATATGACCTCAAACCAAAAGTGACCTGTCGACTCAGCACGAAACATTAGTGAATTGAGTGAATAGGGCTCCTGTGCATGGCATATCGAATGCTGTCACTCTTTTGTAGACTAAAAAATGCTTGTTTGGGTCCGGCCTATGTGTTCATATTATCTATGAAAATCTTGCAGGTGGAATGACTTAAGGTTGTTGCGAATAAAAAGCACACATATACTGCTCCGCAATGCTCCTGATTAGTTGTCCATGAAGTATATGTAAGCCACTCACCTGCATCCTTCACTCCATTGCATTGCTGTCAAGCTGCTAATCAACAATAGAAACAAAATAATAAGACTAATACAAAGCTTGGAAGAAAGATATGATGCTCAACGAATACCTAGAGCTAGGATGCTCACTGAACTCTTCTTGCAAGCGATAGCGAAAAATGGAAGTGTTTCTGGTGTCTGCTCGAGTCACTCGACGATCAACGGGTCGATAGGTGATACAAGTGAATACGAAGCTGCTCAGATAGATAAATGTCGTAAAATGTTCACAAACGTGTAAACTGCAGAAAGAC